ATTCATTGTCTCCCCTATTGCTTCCTGGGCTTTGGAAATAAATGTCAGGAAGATTGACTGTCGGGGGCCCTCCATTGTTAGTCTTTCCAGATTTCCCAAGATCTGGAGCCACTGTGACTAGAGGAGACCAAGCTGCCTTGTAAGAGCACTGGGAGGCTGGTTATCCAAGGTGCAGCCATGATAAAAGTCAGTGTGACCTTAATTCTACATTGGTCTCTTGGTGTGTGAGCTGTTTTAAAACAAGGAAATCAAGGAAGAACGTTCATTGAGTGAGGGTGAACAGGAATGCACACACATCTAGGAGTCACACAATCTGACGATGGCCTGGTTGGGAAGGCAGGAATGCCTTCAGTAGGATTTCACGTCTCGGAATGTTAGGGCAGTGGTGCGATGACAGACAGGTGCCATCCTGCCTGTCGTCCTCGAGTGCACTGCTGCTGTCACAGTGGCCACGTTAGTAACAGGGGCTCTGTAAAGTGGAGACTATGCTGTGCTTACAAACCTGAGGTGTAGGGAGGTTTGAATCCAGGGCCGTCCTACTCAAAGGCATTTTCTCTGCGCCACACACTGGGTCCATCCAGATGTTTACAGTTGAGCATCATTAGCTGGCCCTGAGGGGCTTTAGTGGTAAAGCCTGTGGTGGAGAATAAGGACTCCCACAGTCCAGCTGTGTATGCTCAGCAAATGGTTCTGGAAAAAGTGCCAAGCCTTGGGAACCTCTGGGTCTTTTGTTTGTTTCCTACAGAGTGAATTATGTTTGGTACACACAACTCACTAAGTTCTTATAACAGTAAAATGAGATAATAACTGGGAAAGAGCCCCAAAACTTGAGTGATGTACAAAGAAAAGGCTTACATTATTAACTTTTGTTTTTTAGGCTTTTCTTTTCTTTTGGTTGAATGTAAAAACCTCCCACGATTCTCTCTGTTCTTTGACAGGGTTTTTGGCCTTGGATCTACAAGGGTGATTTTGTGGCAGAGAGGGTTGGTTGGCTTCAAGGGCTCTGAAGCACCATGGCTCTGCCCCTTTCTTTTGTTGTGAACTTAAAGCACAAGACACAGCGCGTTCTCCAAAAGCCTCTTTTGCTATCGTCACACAGTGATCATTTTTTTCCCTTATCTGCTTACTCCTCTCCAGTTCTGTTTAAGATCCAGGGAGACCCAGGATTAAAAGGCAGCTCAGGTGTCAGGGTTTATATTAGGAGGAGAGGAAAAAGACATACAAAGTGGTGGTTGAGCGTACATCCCGTGTGTGTGTGTCACCAGTCAAGTGAGGACATGGCTAGTCCTGCCTCAGTTGCTGGCTTTGAGCTGGACCACATTCTAGGATGTGCTTGAGTCTGACCTGCAGGGAGGAAGTGGACATAGCGAGGGAGAGAAGGCAGGATACACGTGCATGTTCAGGAAACTTGAGCAGCTACACTGGACAGTGGAGGGGGAAGCAGAAGAGAGAATGGAAGTTTGTTGCTCTCTCCCTTTCTCCCTCTTTGTCTCCCCCCTCCTTTGTGTGTGTGTGTTTGTGTGTGTGTTTGGACCATGCACATGGAAAAGTGTTGTGTTACTTTTCCTAGGGAGACATGAACAGACAGAGAAATGATTTCATCCAGGTCTGTCTTGGTGAACTTGTGAGTTCAGTGGACTTCCTGAAGGGAACACAGAAGAAGGATTACTTATAGGAACATAGGACCTCAAAACAGCTGCTTCACCAAAGAAGCCCCACATTGCACGGCTGACAACATCCTTACAGTTGCATAGATGGAGCCTACCCTTCCACTAACTGCCTATCTTCTGAGTGCTCTAGCACCTCCTGAGACCTGTGCATCTGGGAGGCTGGAGTAGGATGGAGGGGCCAGAATCTTAGGGTTGCTTGCCCTTGCCAGCCCTCCTTCTGTGGGGACTGTAGCAGCCTTGATCTTAGGAGGGTTGGCATACTATGACTAGTCAAGCTGCTCCACTCCTGAGAAGACAAAGGATACATCATGCTTGGTGCACAGTCTTCCCCAATATCTTGCCTGAGGATTGTGGGACAGATTTATCCAGAACAATGGAACATTCCAGAGCCAGGAAATGGTAAGGAGACAAGGGTTAGTGGCAGGAAAAATCTGGAGCAGAAGGCTTGCACAAATTTGAGTGGACACAATCGCTTGAGACTGGAAAGGCTGCTTACTGTACAGACTTGAGGGCAAATGGCCAGAGCTCAGTGACAGACCGAGCTAAGGGGTTCATGGAGGAGCAGAGGAGGCACCTAGCCAGGTCTATCCTGATGTTTTGACTTGAGGCTGTGTGGTTTTCCTCCCAGCCCCAGAATTTTCAGCTCTTCATGAAATGTGGGTAGTTGACAGCAGCAACTTGTTTTCAGAACTTAAATTATTCCAAGCTCATTTATGAATATTTCATTTTTTGCTAACTAATTGGTTTCGAGGATCTGAATTATGGATGCAGAGGGTAGGAGATTAGTTTTGTCGCTGTTGTGTTGGAAGCTTTCAGGGCTGATTTTATTTCTTTCTTAACCACTAGATTCCACACTGCTCATCAGTTCGTCTGGCTTTGTGGGGTCAGGACACTGGGTTAGGTGCTAAGGGATAATGTAAGGCATAACCAGGGCTGCAGAGAGCCCCCGTGTGCTGGCAGAGGGACTCCCAGCCAGTGTGCCATGCTGCTCACTGCGCTGTGCTCCCTTGTGTGTCATCAGCACTGCCAGCCCAGCACACTGTGCCTCTGGACAAAGCACCAGACACCTGTTACACCGGGTTTCCTGGTTCTCCAGCTGAGGGCACAGTTCTCTACAAGACACAAGCCATAAGCTTTTTTTTTTGGGGGGGGGTGGAAGGGTCTCAAGACCACCCTCTTTGAATGGCTAGCTGAAGTTTGGGGGGTTGTTGTGGTCTTCCTCCGGCTCAGTAACTTGCTAGAGGAACTAACAGAACTCAGCAAAGTCCTACATGTAGGACTGTAGGTGGGACTAGGCTGGCTCTCAGTAGAGCTTTGGGTTTCCCGTTTAGTGCTGGATGTCAACACTTCCCACCCTCATGCGCGATGAGATCAAGACTCACGTAGGAAGTCTCTCACGCTATCACCGCTCACAGCTGTTGCTGGGGTCTGGAAGGCCTACTGCTCATGTGTGATCTCCATTCTCCTAGGTCTTCCAGTCCCTTTCCCTCTGGTCCCTCTGAAGGTCAGAGGTGCTGTGTTGTACTGCGAAGTTCCCATCATGGGTCACCTAAGCCAAAACCCTCAGGCACACATACATCTATCAGAAAGGACGTAAGGGCCTGGAGGTCACCCAGGGCAAGGACCAGATCTCTCTGTTGGTTAAATTCATCTTGACTACACAGCTGTATGCTCAGAGCATTCAGAGAGCAGCTTCTGTCTGCACAGCAGGACGTCGCTCACCAGGCTAGTGCTGGGCCATAGACTTCAGTCAGCTGCTGGGTGCTGGCTTGTGCCGCTCAGCTGAGGGGTGTGAGGAGTATTCTATAGGTTCTGTTAACCTGGCTTCCCGGATGTTAATTCCTGTTCCCCCTGGTTGCGTGTGTTGTTGTAAAGAATAACAATAGGGAGTTTCAAGGCTTTGACGCAAAGGCTTTGTTCTTACTCCATTACTGGATTTCTTCCTTGAACCTTCAGTGCCCAGCCACTGGTCCTCCTGAGACATAGCCTTTGTCCTTGGTAGTATCCAGTTCTGACAAAGAGATCAAAGGGCTTCAGTTTGTTGGCTGCTTTGTCTGGTCTCTTAGTGTGTTTTACCCACCCCCAATGCCCTAGTGAGATGGAGTGCAGTCTGTAGTGGTGCTGGCTACCTAGGCCAGAGAAGGCTATGGACTAGATCCTCAGGCAGTGCTGACCTGTGCTTGGCATTATAGCTCTGCAGAGGTTCTGTCACACAGGGAGATTTCTCGTTCCATTTTAGTGCCCAGTGTCCCTGAATGCCTGGGGACCCTGGGTTGTGGCCAGAGGACATAGTTATGTTGCTCCGCCCTGCAGATTGTCTTCCCATCTCCCTGCCTTGTGGGCTTGGGTGACCCCCTTGATTAAAGGGTGCCACTGTGCTAGCGTTGAGCAGAGTCACTGGTGTTTCCCTGTGCGAGCCTCAGCTCTTTAGACAGCAGGAAGAGTCTTGTCCATTCTATAGTCAAGCCATCACCTAACATGGCACCAAGCCCTAGGACCCCTCTACTCAATCCTGAGGAGCTGTTCAGTGCCAGCTCTAGCATTGGGGTGTCGCCAAGCTGGGGCCATACCCCTGCTTGGACTGTCTCCAAGGCTTATCACATTCATAGAACTATATCAGCCCCAGTTCACATGACTGTATGTGCAGTTCTGTCCACTGCCCCTGCTTCCTGCTTAATCCCACCTTCATTCTAGAGGCCAGTATTTTCATGATGAGCACTAATGGACCAGAATGCTGTTGTAAAAATGTAGTTTGGAACTCACTCTGAAGCAGTTCTGATCATACTATTTAAAAATTCCTAGGTCAGTAGGCAGCTTGAAGAATGTTATTATCTTTTGCCCTGTAATCTGTGGCTTTACATTATAATACTTTTCCCCTCCTTTTTCCCAGGACAGTTTGAGTCTTTGACATAATCAGATCACTTGCATAATAGGAATGTGGTGCTCTCATCAGTCCCGGAAAACCATTCGCAAAGGGGTCTTGAAGCACTTTCTGAGAACTGGGTTTAAGTGGAAGTGAGGATTAATAAGGGCAGGATTTATGTACTGCCAGCTGTCCTCACAACATGAACTTGTGCCCCCTTCCAGCTTTGTTGAAGGACTGTGTGTAGAGGTTCTGACCGGCTGGTAGTCTTGAAGCAGGATATTGCAAAATCGATTACCATTAGCATCAGCATTAAAGATATTTGCAGCTGGTAATTTGGGGAACCACTTCAGATGTTTCGTTTTTAATAAAACACAGACCTTGACCACACTTACACAGAGAGGTTGAGTAACGGTCCTGCTCTGTTCCTCATGTGACTGCCCCCTGCCCTGTTGTTTATTTTGCAGAGTTTTTGGTTATGAAGAGAAAGAGAGGCAGGCCCAAGGGTTCCACGAAGAAGGCCAGCACTGAAGAGGAGATGGTAGAGAGCCTAGTGAGCCCCAGTGAGGACGGTCCCCTGGCTCCAGAGGAAGGGAGTGGCCTGGCCCCTAGCACCTTGGAGTGTAGCAAGTGCTGCCGGAAGTTCTCCAACACCCGCCAGCTGCGCAAGCACATCTGCATCATCGTGCTCAACCTGGGTGAGGAGGAAGGAGTCGCAGGTTAGTGCTGCATGTCAGGTTCTTATCAAGAGCAGTAACCGCCAATACCTGCTTTTATAGGCTGGTTGCTTGGAAGTAGTGTGTGCCTGCGCAGGTCTCTCCATCTGGTTCACAATGGTCGTTTACTGTTCCTGAGAATAGTCCCTGAGGTGAAGATGTCACGCAGTAGGCGAGACCTGCAGCATGCTGGTCAGAGGTGCTTGGAGAGGAACGGTGGGGATTATGGCAGTGGGAAAACTCTTATCTCCTCCTTGGGGCGTTCATGTGTCAGGAGAACAGGGAGCTTTTGGAAGCAAACTGTTGAGGGCAGTCATCGAGAGCAGTCATCCTAATATGAACACAGGGGACCTGGACAGTGCTCAAGCGTGAGGTGGAGGACATTTAAGTGGATGGATGGAGTCAAGGGTGGCAGGCTGAGTGGTCACTGGTGACCGAGGACCGTGGTGGGCATTCTTGAAGAAAAGCCATCATGTACTTCCTCTGGCTGGGTTCCTGGCTGGGCTGCAGCACTGAAGCCCTCGAGTGGGGCTGAGGGTGATCGCAAGCATGGCATGAAGTGGCCACATCATGGCAAACTCACAGATGACCTTTCTCTCTTCGAGGCACACCCAGACGAGGGAGTTCTTGAAGGGCTGGCTGCACTGTGCCAAGTGTGCTGTGTGGGAGCCCAGCATGTGGTCAGGGTTTGAATCTGCTCCAGCCTTGCTGGCCTGCTTTAACTCCAGTTTCTTCATCAGTAACACAGGAAGAAAACCTGCTATTTTGTGTGAGTGCTCTGAGTGTTAAGCGAGACAGGGCTTCTCCAGAGCTTGATGTAGCACTTGCCGTATCAGAAGACGCAGTATTCATAAGCTCCTCTGTTAACTGTTACATCCATGTGGCTACAGAACCTTTGTCATCCTGGCTGTTCTGAGGACAGCATGCTTGACACTGAAAAGGGAAGATACTTGCCTGGTGTCTGTTGGGTAACAAGAGGACCTGACCTTTGACCCCAGGCCATCCTCTGACCCGCTGTTCTTAATTTGTTTACTGTAAATGTCTCCCAGTGATGAAGCAGGATGCCTGGTATGCAAAATCCCAGCACAGCTTGGATGGATTATTAAGTAATTCATCAATTTATACTTAACAAGTGTCCAGGTGGGTGGCTGAGGCTCATTGCCAGCATCTGTGGCAGCTGATTAAGACGTCTCTCCAAGCTCCTAAAGAGCGCTAACCATGGTCATGTGACCCTTGCCACTTTGTGTGGTAACAGAATCCTGATGTGGTAGTGGGCTGACAGCTGCCCCATAATGTGAGACAGTGGAGGGGGGAGGGAGGTCAGTGCTCAGTGGGGGTCTGTGTCTCAGCTGAGACCCGAAAGTCATTTTGGAAAATTGAAGATAGGTTTTAGAGAGCAGTTGCTTAGGCTCAGGTTGTATTATCTCCAAACCTGAAACTCAGACAGCCCTGGCTCTGTAACTCATTGATGTGGGTTATGGGCGTTACTGTTCTCTCTCTGTGTCTCTGCTTTTCTGTCCACTGTCTCTTATATACCACATGCAGATACATACACATGCGCATACATCAACCCCTCCTCTCTGTCCACTTCTTACATACCACATGCAGATACATACAGACACATGTGCATACACCCACCCCTCCTCTCTGTCCACTGTCTCTTACATACCACATGCAGATACATACAGACACATGTGCATACACCCAGTCCTCCTCTCTTCTCTCATCCTCCTTGATATTGGTCGCACCCTCAACATCCCTGGCCACTATGGCAGCCTTTCTGATCTCTACCTCATCATCTGCAGACTGGGTTCTCTGCCATTAAGTGCTGGTTGCTGTGCCTCCACAGCCTTGTCCTGACTGACTGAGATGCCCCGACCTTTCTGAAGATGCCTGGTATTTGGGATTTCAACTCTTTTGTGGTACTAAACTTTCCTCCCTGCCTCCCAGGTCTAGGTCTAATTTTGGGGCAAAGTAATAAGTTCTCATCTAGCTGGTATAGAACCCATCTCTTCTTATTAGTTCTTCATCTTTTCCCACTCCAGATGACTTTACTATGTGGCAATGTGGCATCATCTTCCAGGGTTTCCATGTTCCAGTGTTGAGGTCAGCCTTGGCACAGCCAGTGACAAGCTGTGTTATTATGTTTTTTTTGTGTGTGTGTGTAATTATAAACAAGGACTTAGTAAAATCTTAGGTATTCGTGTCTGTGTGTGGTTAAATTCCTGACCGCAGATCTGCCTAGTCAGAAAATACATGTTACTACATTTCTCCATAGATAGCCCCGACCAACTTATGGTCCAAAACAGTCTGAGAGCACCATTGGATTGTATGAATTCTGTTGTCTCTGTGTGTGTGTGTGTGTGTGTGTGTGTGTGTTACGTGTGTCGGGATGACATGTGGAGGCTAAGGGTGTCCTCAGTTATTGTTCCTCTGTCCCTGTCTACTAGGCAGGTTCTGTCAGTGGCTTTGAGCTTACTGCATAGGTAAACTGCCTGGCCAGTGAGCCCCGGGTATCTGCCTGCATCAGCCTTCTAGTGCTAAGATTGTAAGAGCATGCTACCATGCCTGTGTTTAAAAAAAAAAAAAAACCTTCCTAGTGTATTGTCTGGGGTGAGCTTAGATCCTGTGACTGCAAGGTATGCTCTTTACTGACTGAGGCATTTCCCTCGCCCTGTGCTTTCCTTTCATAATACAGGGAATTCTAAGAAGGTGGCAAATAAAACTCAGAATCTTAGTGGAGAGGTGAATGCCTGTTCCACTGCCCGTGAGGAAAGACCTTTCTCCGTTCTTAGCCCCCATACATACATCTTTTCAGGACTCTTCTGGGATCTCTTTGCATTCTCCAATCTAGCAGATACATTGCTAAAGTTTTAAAATTTTTTATTCGTGTATGTGTATGAGTGCTTGCCTCATGTTTATGGGTGCCTTTGTGGGGGGACAGAAGAGGCTGTGGGGTCTTCTGGAACTGGAGTTACAGGTGGTTGTGATCAGCCCTACGTGGGTGCTGGGAACTGAAGTTGTGTCCTGGAAGGGCAGTGTGTGCACTTACCCACTGAACTATATCTTTCAATTGTTTTTGAGAATTTCATACATGAGTATACTATATTTACATCATTTCTATACTTTTCCCCTCTCCAACTCTTTGCTCACTCCACTCTTTGGGCTCATGCCTCATCTTGTACAATTACTACTGTTATGTACATATACACGTGTTTATGTGTGTGTGTATGTTTGTGTGTGTGTCACGTACCAAGTTCATGTAGTGTTACTCATATATTCATGGGTTTAGGGCTGATCACTTGAGATTGGATAACCTATTGGGAGAAGGTTGATCCTCCTTCTCTTAGTAGCCCTGCCTGTAGTTCTTCATCTAGGAGTGAGGCCTTGAGACATTTCTTTTATCCTCTTGGCATAGCAAGAGGATGGTCATTAGGCATGTCTTTTTAGGGAACCGTGTTTTTGAGATTACATGGGTGCAGCATCTCTATCATGTCTAGAAGATGCTGTCTTGCAGCAAGCCCTTTGATGCTTACACTATTCCTCCTGTCTTCTATAGTTGTACTGTAAATATATCACCTGGGGGTCAGCACCTGAAGGCCACTTACTCTGCATTTTGATCAGTTGTATATCTCAATAGTAGCTTCCAGGTGTTGCAAAATGAACCTTCTTTGATGAGGGCTGAGAGCTCCACTTACCTGTGGTGCAAAGATTAGTGTTTAGAATATAATTAGAACCCATATTGATTTAGGGAAATGGTAGTAGTTGTTTCTCCTCTAGAGTCTGAGACCTCTCCAGCCAGGGACAATTGGTCAGGTGTACAGTATCAAGCATTCCCTCTTATTTAATCACCTTATGTCCACTTAGACAGCTCTTGGTTATTAGAAAAATACAACTGCCACTATGGCACTATTGGAACACTATCAGACCAGTATTGCTGTGGTTTATAGGCGTAACACCTGGGTAGAACTGTTGATTTTTTTTCTTTTCTTCCTTGGAAACTTGTGTAGCTCCTTCTGATAATATAAGAACCAGTCCTCAGGAAGGAGGCTTCCAGGTTAGATCTGTTCCATTCCTCCAAGTCCTGTGTCTGAAGGATGTGATATCTTCAGCGACAGGGACTTACCTTCAAGTTCTGAGAGGCAATCAAAGGCAATAGCAGCACTTTATATTGTTTAGAGGCAGTCTCTTGGATTCCTGACTAACAGCTTGGAGGTTTCCCTTATCTGGCTCTGGGGTTAGGTGCCCTATATGGCCCCAGGTATACTTTTTAGGCCTTTTTTTTTTAATTATTGCAAAAGCTGTTTTCTAGTACCTCTCAGGTTGCACGGGATACTCCCAGAGTTTCATAGTGAATGCCTCATTGAGTTCCCAACCTAACAAGGAAGCCATTGTTACTGTGCTTAGATGAGAAGATTGAGCACCATGATGGTAGCCCTGACTGACCTGGAGCTTGATATGTAGACCAGGCTGCCTTTGAACTCAAAGAGATCTGCCTGGTTTAGCCTCTGTAGTGCTGGAATTAAAGGAACATACCATCACTCCCAGCTTGAAAAAGATTAACATAGCCTGTATGTGGTTCTTGTGACTGTTTTACTAGGTGCCCCAACCCCAAACAATGAGCAAATGCCTACTGTTGTCATTTTTAAATGCCTACTGTTGTTATTTTTAAATACCATACTGTATTTCTTCATATGTGTAGGCCTATAGTTAAGGGACAATAGGATTATTTCAAAACAGTCTTTAACACACAATCTTATCATGAGTCTTTGCATGCCATTATTGACTTAGGAAAATGTCTCATCGCATAACTTTGGGTAGAGAACGAATATTTTACATTACAGCATATTCAGGTATTGTCAAACCGACCTGAGAATGCAGGTCCCAGTCCTTTTCCATCTCAGGCTTTGTCTTCCTTTGTCCTTCATTGTGTAAATTGTTATCTTTTTGATCTCTCATGCAAATCTTGCATTAAAACTTTTAATTTATAGCTCTTTCATCAC